GCTCTCATACTTCAGACATATTGTCAGAAGGGACCAGTCCCTGGAGAAGGACATCATGCTTGGTAAGGTGGAGGGTCAGAGAAAAAGAGGAAGCCCCCCCAGCGAGATGGAATGGCAAAGTGGCGGCAGCAATGATAGTGAGGTTGGCCCAGGATCGGGCAGCGTTTCGTTCTGCTATGCACAGGGTCACTATGGGTCAGTACCGACTCGGTGGCACCTGACAACAACATACATCCCCCACAATAAAAATAAGTGAGTGAGTAAGAGGACTGGTCCCTAGTGAAGTTCCCAGAATACAAGGCCCGGTCCTCCCAGGATCTCTCATCCTGGACAGGAGATGGGCAGGGCAGGTGTTCCAGGAGAAAGGAAGGCCGTTGTTGCTCACACATAAGAGCAATAACAAGGAGGGGATGGAATCCCAGGGGCGGGAGGTGGGGCTGGAACACCTAGCTTTATATCTTGGCCCCACCTGTCCCGGGCACTGGAGGCAGACAGAACCAAGCCACAGACAGCATGCTGCTTCGTCTGCTGCTGATGATCAGCCTCCTGGGCCCCGCCACCGCCAGCCCCATCACTGCCAGCCCCCTGGAATGTTCCCAGGGCTCCCCTGAGGGATGCCAGCACCTGCAGGGACCCCCAACACCTGCCGAGGGTGAGATTCCTTCCCTGAAGCTGGCAGAGCCTAAGTTCAACTCCCTCAGTGAAACCCCGTCTCACCTGAGCTGCGATGTGTGCAGGGCTGTGGTCTACGAGGCGCATGGGGGGCTCAGAGGCGGGGGCACCAAGGAGGACGTCAGAAGTGCCCTGGGGCACGCATGTCTAGGCCTGCCTCTGCACCTGCAGCCCGAATGCACCTCCATGGTGGACGGCCTCGCACCCCTCGTGACCAGGGACACCCTGCAGACGGCGTGCGACACACTGGGGGTGTGCCCGGCCCAGAGGGAGCTGCGGGTGCTCAGTTCCAGACACCACAGCATGCCCACCACCCTACTGGATGAGGAGAACCAGGGCAGCTTCTGCAACAGCTGCAAGAAACTGCTGGACATGTCCGCCAACAACCTGGAGAGCAGAAGCACCAAGAGGGATATCCTGCTGGCCTTCAAGGGCGGTTGCAGCATCCTGCCCTTAACCTACCATCTGCAGTGCAATCACTTCGTCACGCAGTACGAACCTGTGCTCATCGAAAGTCTCAAGACCATGATGGAACCCACCGCCATCTGCAAGAAGGTGGGCGCCTGCCACGGTCCCCGGAACAGTGACCAGTGCGTGGATGGCCCCAGCTACTGGTGCAAGAGCCTGGAGACTGCCAAGCTGTGCTCAGCCTTGGAGCACTGCCGGCAGCACGTGTGGAACGGGGAGCAGGCGTGAGCCCACCTCACACTCAAAGCGCCCTCTAGTGGCTCTGCCTGGTGACCGCCTCTGGGTCCCTGCACTGCGAGGATGCTGGAGTCAGGTGTCATTGCCACAGCTGGGAGCCGGGCTGGGGGAGGCGGGGGGTGGGGGCAGTGGCCATTTCGGGGTGGGAGGGTCCCTCTCTCAGCTGGGAGCCAGGCTGGGTGAGAGAAGACTGAGGTGGGAGAGGAAGGAGGGGCCGTGGCAGGCTGGGGGAAACCCTTCAAAGCTGGGAGCCAGGCTGGGGTGGACCGGGGTTTAGGTGGGGAAGGGAGGAAGGGCCATCTCCGGGTGAGGCAACTCCCATCTCAGCTGGAGTCAGGCTGGGGACCAGGACTGAGGCAGGGGGAGGGAGGAAGGGCCACCCTCTGACACAGCTCTGGGGGGGGAGGCGTCGGACAGCCACAACCACTCAGTGGTGCCTGGAGGGGGTCCTGGGGTGCTTGTGAAAATGCCTGTCTGGGAATTTGTCTCAGCAGGACCGGGACTCTGGCCACATTCTCCAGGGGCTCTTGGGGTCTGTAAGAATCCTTCAACCCACAGTACAATCCTTGAGTAGCACCCCACACTCCCAGACAGCCCTGCTGGACCTCTGGACACTGACTGCCCACCTGGGAGCCACAGCACAGCCCCCTAGGGGAGGAGCCTCGGTCCTCTACCCTGAGGAATGGAACCATCAGCTGGCCTCAGGGAACGTCCATGAACTTCTCCCCAACCAGGAACGCCATCTCGGTGTCGGGGGTCTCAGGAGAGCCCAGTACTCAATAAATCACGAGCATCACCCACCCGTGTCCCTGTGCTTTCTTCTCAGGAGGCCTTGTCCTCAAGCCACTCCCACACCTCCCCCCCTCAGCCTCCCCAGGACGCCTCCTCCAGGATATCTGCCCTGGTTTCTCATTGTGGCTGAGTCCCCTCACTGTGCTTGTCATCGGTCCCCAGAGAACAGAGCCATGGAGGGTGGACCTGGGGGGGGGGGGGAGTACACAGGGCTCATACTCTGGGGGATGCTGAGCAACATGGGGCCCCATCCAGTGATGGAGGAAAGGGAGACAGATAGTGGTCATGGTGTAGGGGGTCCTACCCAGGATGAGAACCTCCTGCTGTCCAACTACCACCCTTCAAATACCCTAGAGAGCAGGGTAACCCCAGAAAACCTGTCAGTGGTTACCATGCGCTTTTCCCACTAAACTGGGTAGCAAAGGGGGCTGGGAAGGAAGATGGTTTGATTTCTATTACCCCCTGCACCCCGCTGTCCCTAGTTCCAGGCCTAAATCTGCTGTGGTGCACCTCAAATTGCCCCCCTCGGCGTTGGACAATACAGTCGGGGTGATGGGAAGATCTTGGGTGGCACACAAGGTGGGGGGCCCTAGGACAGACACCATCCTTCCCTCCGCTGCCCCCCTCACAGGTTTGAGTGGTTTTACTCTGCACGTCTCTTCTGATGACGTTTGATCCGAAGGTCCAATTTTGTGATCACATTCCTGAACAGAAAGTCAACACCCCCAAATCAGTGGGGTTTCCACACACCGGCAGTATGCTAGAGAAAAAGGAAATTAGGGAAACATCAACCTTACAACCACATCCCTAACACTAAAGTGTCTATGAGCATCCAGTACTCACGGATGTAAAGATCTAATATGGTTAGGATGGCGATCCATGCCATCCCATCAATATTCCAACCGCCTTTTGTCAGCCAAGAATAGCACGCCCAGAAAAATTGTCATTCCAACTAAAGGTGTAGTCAGGACATCCCCAGATGAACAACAAGAATTAAAGGGATTTGTTACCACCAGCCTGTCCCGACAAGACATATTAAGGCAGTCATCTACCACCACCACCAATGGAAAATCAGTGACCCCAGATACAACCTGAAGCAATGTTGTTGTTGTTGTTGTTGTGAGGTGCCATCGAGTCATACCTTAATCCTCAAAGTGAAATGTTTGTTCCTTAGCACGTAAACAGCTCTTTTGCAGATTTGCCCAATGCAATATGTTGTATGATTACTTGACTGCTACCAGACACATTATTCATGGATTCAAGTAAAATAAAGTCTTTACCACTTCAATCGTTTCCCCGATGTAACATCTTTTCATGACGTTATTTACTGGTCCGGTTGTGATTGATAGTGTCTCCTTATTCTGCTCCAATGACTGCCTATTGATCTAGGTACAGGCTCCGCATGAACACAATTAAGTTTCCTGGATTTCCTATTCTTCACAATGTTATCCGTCGTCTGTTAAGATCCTTTGTATAGATGAATGATTTGCATAGTCAATAGAGCACAAGTAAATATCATTCTGATCTTCTCTGCGTTCAGCCAAGATTCATCTGATGTCAGCAATGATATCCCTCATTCCATGTCCTCTTCTGAATCCAGCTTGAATTTCTGGTAGCTCCCTGCCAATGTCCTGCTATAATCGTTTTTGGATGATCTTCAGCAAAATTTTACTTGAGTGTGGTATGAATGGTACTACTCAATGATTTCCACAACCCACTGGGTCACCTCTCTTTGGAATGGGCATAAATATGAATCGCTTCCAGTCAGTTGGCCAGGTAGCTGTTTTCCAAATTTCTTGGCAGATTATTGAGTGCCTCTAATGATGCATCAGTTCATTCAAACATTTCTATTAGCATTCTGTCAGTTCCTGAAGCCTCGTTTTTAGCTAATGCCTTCAGTGCAATGTGGACTCCTCCCTTCAGTACCATCAGTTTTGTGGTCCTATGGAGTCGCTTGAAATGGCTGAACATTAACCATTTCTTTTTGGTACAGTGACTCTGCGTATTCCTTCCATCTTCTTTTGGTGTTTTCTGCATCATTCAATCATTTGCCCATGGAATCTTTCAATATTTCAAGTTGAGGCTTGAATTTTTCTTCAGTCTTTCACTTTGAGAAATTGAGTGTTCTTCCCTTTCATTTTTCATAATCCAGATCTTTTGCACATTTCATTATAATATTTGACTTTGTCTTCTTGACATCCCTTTTGAAATTTTCTGCCAGAATCTCTTCTGACATCCATTTTGGACTTTTATTTCTTTCCTGTCTTTTTAGTGACCTTTTGCTTTTTTCCTGTATGATGTTCTTGTCATCCCACAACTCTTCTGGTCTTTGGACATTAGTGTCTAATGCTTCAAATTTGTTTTTTTTTATTTATTTAAGGTTTTTATTGTGGATTGAGTGAAAGTTTACAGGGCACATCATCAGTTTTACATTCAACAATCATACACCTTGATTACAATGATTATAATCCCCTCCATGAACCATCAGTTAACAGTTTTTCACTCTATCCACTTTAGCTTTTTTAAAACAAACAAACAGAAACACCACTCAGACATATATAATAATTTACATCTCCAAAGGGCACATTCTGCAAGTCTGCTTCCTGCTCACCAGCTCTTAGTCCCTCTCTTCTTAGTCCATGAACCTAGAGTCCTCAGCCGCTCCCCCTCTCCATGCCCCCATCTCTGCCTCCATCTCTGGCGCTGCTGCTTCTTTGGATAAAGTCCCACATTCTATTTGTGTGTTCCTCTCTTGATGGTCCTAGGGTCCTCTGTTTCTGGACTGTAAGATTAACCACTCCCCTCCCCTGTTTTTGTTACAAAACTTCTACCTTTACAATTATGGCAGTCGCAATTTGTCATGATAACAATTATTCACTATTGAATCTTATGAGTCTTATGCCCATCTCTTTTCACCAGACCCATCTAGACAAGATGACAGCTATTCAGTGGTGACTCTTTCTTTTCCCCCATACTCTTAAACTAAACTCCCTCTTAGAAACTTTGTAAGCCAGTCACTTCGTGCCTTTATTGTCCCCTCATTTTAGATAGCCAATATCTAAGTTGCCTGTCCCTATCTACCCTGTGCACAGAGCGGATAGCATTGATACTTGATGTGAAGACTCTTTCCCTCTCTGTTGGTGTTTAGAATAACTACCTCTCTGAGTCTAGGTCAGGTTCATCAAATTGAAGCAATTTATCCTTGTTTCCTTTATCCAAAAAAAATTTTTTTTAATTAAATTTTTTTTTCAATTTTTTTTTTCTGTAATCTTCCTCTAGTCAAGTTCTGATTATCAAGCCATCAAGGCTAGATCAAAAGGGTACCGTATACAAACTTGGGTGTTCTTGTGCATCTCCCCTCACTTCATATCAGCTAGATGTTTCACTCTCTGCTCTAGCCCTCTGTGGCTATGTCCTTGTCCATGGGCTCAGGTGTCCTCAGGTCTCACCACACTTTGAACCAACCAGTCCTTCCTCTTCTCTAGCTCATCTCCAGGTCAACAGGAGTCAATGGACTGGGGTTGAACTCAGCCCATTTCTTCATTGATGCCTTTCCCCCTCTTCCACTCACCAATAGACCAGTGTGGTCACCAGCAAGCTTATATGTCTGTTTGTGTGTTCCCTTTGAGTTTCAGTCTTAGAGGGAAGCTTGTCCTGAAGGAACTTGATTGCTTGCCTTGATGGCTTTTTTGTTTTGGGTTTTTCCTGACAATCTTTCTTTGAAGATGCATCTTCAGTTGCTCTAGCTGTTCCAGGCTGGTCTGCTTGTCTTTCTAGTGGGAATGTCTCACCTCAGAAGGTTCTAGATGGGACTCAGGATTCCACCTAAGGTCCTATACACTGCAAAGGCTGCGCAAGTGGCCTATTTCACTGGGAAAGTTCTAGAACCCCTTTTAGTTATTCCAATCAGTTATAGGCTGAAGATGGGCTTACAAATTTTCTCTAATCATGTTTCCCAACATTACTTTCTATCTCACTACAGTGTCTATTTTACATTAGTAGGCAAGGGAAACTAATATTCATTAAGGTAGTCAAGAACTTTAGTATTATTTACCTTCTTCAAGCTATACCTAGATCCCTGTATCCCAGAGCCCTGTTGTTCCAAGGTTGAGTATGCATCACTATTTACCTCTG